TCTTGAGCTCCTGTTAAGTTAGGTCTCTCTCATTCACCTGTTGGTTGCCAGCATGGTCTTTAACATCTGCTGTGCTTCTCTTGTTCTGTACTTAAGTTTTGCAAAGTCATCTTGCTTTCCCCAACTGCAAATTTCTTTGTTGCCAAGACCACATCTGACATGAGGTCAGACCCTGGAAATGTCTGCTAGAGGGCAGGTGTGATGAGGAGAGTCAGGAGTTGGAATGGGGCTCCAAGCATACTTCTCTATAGGTTTGGGGGCCAGGAACCTGAGGGGAAGGAGGCCTGAGCCAGTGCTCTGCACTGCTACGTGGAAACCTTTCATGAACATAGAGGTCTGGCAGGAGCCAGGGTGTCTGTGACCTTGACTCTGCACACAGTGTTCAATGTTGGGTGGGAGGGGGCTTGAAGAGCTCCAAGACCCTCCTGCCATCTGCATTAATCAGCCTAGCAGATCCGCAAGGGGAGGTATAGGGCTGTTTGCTCTGGGTCTGGGTAAACTGAGGCACAGGGCAGGTAAAGTAGGTTCTAACAGAGTAAGAAGTGAGTGTTCAAAGATGGACCTTCATGGCCCTCTCTTGATTTTCTTGTCCACCAATACCAAGGACCCTCTGTATTCCTTCAATAAAACGTTCAATGTTTATCCAAGGACATTTGAAAATGATAATATTAAAGTCTCACACTAGAACAGAACTTACACTCTTAACTGAGTACTTTCAGATATTTTAAGAGAGATACTTCCTTCTCCCAGGAAGTTCGTGGGGTAGGCAATCAACCACCCAGGGTCATCCCCCTTTGCAGAGGGAAACTGAGACACAGAGCATTTAAATGACCCTTCCCAGCTCACCAAGCCACAGTGGCAAAGCTGGGACTTGAACGCAGATTCCAGGGCTGGCTCTTGCCATGATATCACGCTGCTTCTCTCTGAAAACTTCCACCCAGCCTCGGCCTCAGCTCTCAGCTCCGTTCCCTCATCCAGGATCTGAGCCCCTTCTACCCGCCGCCTTTCTTCCTTCAGCAATGACTCTTCCCTTAACCTGCAAAATATCCCATGAGCGCTACAGACTTCTCACTCCTTCAACAGTCGGTGTCATCCACCACAAAACAGTTATGCCAACCTGCGTTTCTTAGACCATACAGTGTGAGCGTCTAAATGACCAGGATTTCTTGTTCAAATGCAGATTATGGCTCAGCAGATCTGGGGCAGGTCCTGAGATTCTGCATTTCTAACAATGTGATGCTGATGCTGTTGGTCCAAAAACCACACTTTGAGTAGCATGGCTATAGGCTGGCTCTAACCACCATCCTGCCTCGTCTGTTGCTCTGTGGGTCTCCTTCTCTTTCTCATTCCTTACCATCTCTCCTCTGAGTCTCCCATGGTTAGATTTTGTGTCAGAAGCACAAGGAAAGTGTCTCCCCCTCCTTTCATGAGCAGCGCAAGTGGCTGGTGGGCAACTTCTTAAAGGGAACTGTGGGGTAGGTTGCTCCCCGTGCCCAGCTGTGTCCTCCACCCTGAAGGGGTCCTGGGAGCAGCAGCTGCCCTGCAACTTTTCTGGCACGGCCTTTCTCTTCTCCCCCTTGGCCCTGCAGCTCCCTAGGCCCACTGGGCCTCTTGGACAGGGCCTGGAACCCAAGGGAAGCAGGGGTGCGCATCTTCTCTGCTGCTGCCCTCATTGAAATTTTGCCCTTGCCCAAGAATCCTCGGTTGAGAGCTCATCCCTATTAATTCTCATTGTGCATTTAGAGCCAATAGGTTTTTATTTATTCATTTATCTTGTCTTCCTCCCCCTCCCCTTCCTCACCAGGTTGGAATTTACAATTCTGTTCTCAGGTGGCCTTGCTGAAGGATGAAGGACAGCAGGCATGTGGAGAGAGAGGGTTGTTCCCAGAGCCCCAATAAAGGTAGCCACCCCGTGGTCCCTCTTGCACCCTCAAAGTTCTCTGGGGCTCATGATCCTATTAGCTGTGCGGACAGGCCCAGCGCCTGCTGTGGGAAGGGCCAGGGGAAGAACTAGCAGAGGGCTAATGGTAGCAAGGACAGGGCGATTGCAAGACTAATGGGGCAGTGGGCAGTCAGGCTGCCGTTAGAGCGCCCCCTGGTGGCCTGCAAACTTCCTGCCGGGCCATGGCTGGAGGCATTTAAGCTTCCTGAGCACGTAACTGCCCAGAGACTAGAAACACAGGGCGTGATGTCCTAAAGGCTGGAGAGGGGAAGGAAACTCTAAGAAGAAAAGCCAGGGAAGCCACCGAGAGAGAGTAATAATAAGTGAATAACACCTAGTGCACCTTGAGCACCTGCGATGTGCCAGCCCTGGCCGTGCCCAGGACCCGCACAACGGCACTGCACCTGCCCATCAGCCATGGGGCACTCAAATGATGAGTGTCTCTGCTTTACAGATGAAGACACTGAGGCTCAGAGAAGCCAGAAGCTCAGAGAAGGGAGGCTGTGCAGCCTGGTCGGTAAGCCCTGGCCTCCACCACAGAGAAGTTCCCTGCCTGGCTCTGCTGCATCTAAAACTGAGTGACCTCGCAGGATTTAGCCAACGCTTTCTAATTCCTAAAATGAGATTAGCATAGGTGCAACCTCAGAACATTGAAAGATGATTCAATAACACACACACAAGCACCTGCTTAGGGTAAAGTGCAATAAATGCTGGCACCAGGGTTTGAACCCAGGTCCACCTGGATGTGACCCTCTCTTCCCTACAAAAGCCAGTCCCCGACAGGGCTGCCCTCCACCTGCCGAGGCAGCATTCCCATCAGCTGCGCATTTGTAATCAAAGGCAGAGCTGGATGGCAGCCCATAATGAAATATTTAAGTCCATCAAACAGGTGGCAAGATGCTGAGGACCTACCCAAGGGAGGATCTTGGAGATGCTATTCTTCCTCCCCTGCCCCTTCCCCTGTCTTTCCAGGAGGGAGGAAGGAAGCTCTTCTCAGACTCCAGGGCTCCGTGGACACCTGCCTGGGCTCTGTCTGAGGGTGGAAGCCGGGGGAGTTCCAGGACCAAGGGCATCTTGAGCAGGCTTTGGCCAGGAGAGGGCCTCAGACCTGCATTAGATGGTCATCTCCACCTCTCAAGTCCTTGACGTGAAGCTGACCAAGTGGATTAGTGGATTCCAATTTAGCTGCCCTCCCCTCCCCTACCTTGAACACCAAAAAAGGTAATGCTTAACATTTAAGAGGAAAAAATACAGTCAAGAATTTCAATATGAGAGGCAGAAGTTGACTGACCTTGGGAGGATGTGGAAAAGAAAGGTGGCCTGAGATGGGCGAGGCTCCCACCCTGGGCTTGCCCCTGACCTTCAAAGCCCTGCCCCCTTGCCCATCCTTGGGAAAGAGAGATCCTATGTCCCCAGTGCAGTAATCCCTACGACAACTCAGGCTCTGGCTCTCAGGCTGAACTCTTCTTCCTTTCTTTCAGCCTCTCCCTTCTCTCCCTAGGTGGCTTTCTGGCAGTGCAGCCAACACCCACAGTGACAACCTCATCTCTGCTGATAGGTAAGTCCGAATGTAACACACCTTCCTGGACTAATTACTTGGTGGTGTGACTGAAGCTGTCCCTTAGGAGCACTGCATCAGCCTCCCATAAATCCAGAGACCTGGAGACTCACCCAAGGACAGGGCAGAGTGCCATCTACCATTCCTGCCTTCATCAACTCCTGCAGCCTGGCTGCCCTGCCTGGACTCCTGCCAGGCCTGGAACCTCCAGAGCAATGCCCAACAGCAACATGACCCTCACTAAACAGTTTAGCTTAGAAACCAGACACACAAAGCTTAAATCACAGATTGACTGCTTCCTAGTGTGCGACCTGCTGCCTCAGTTTCTCCATCTGCAAGATGGGAATGACAACAGCTATGGTGGTGTAGTGCCTAAGGCATTTAACTGCTAACCAGAAGGCTGGTGGCTCAAACTCACCAGCCACTCCCTGGAAGGAAGATTGGGCAATCTACTTCCACAGATATACCGCCTCAGAAATCCAAGGAGGGGTCACTATAAGTCGCGTCCGACTCCACGGCAGTGGGTTCAGTTTTTGGTTAACACCTATGGAGCACTTGCTGTGTGCCAGACCCTGATTCTGAGTATTTCAATGACCCTATGAGTGTGTACTACTAGTGTCCCCATTTTACAAGTGAGGTGACAGAGGCCCAGTTATGCCACTGGTCAAGAGCCCACATCCTAATACTCCTCCTTTATGTAACATAGAATCAACCTGGCTGAGCTGAGCCTCATTCTCAGTGGGACGACACATATCATTCTACCAGCCCGCACACATGGAACTTACATCAAATCATCCTTGCTATTATTTTTGTTGCTGTTGATATGACTTGAGAACTGAAGCTACTCTGTGGCTCTAAAATCCCATCCTTGTCTAACTCTGGGACTCAAGTGACAACACTGGAATGTCTGCCTCTCCCCTGACTTATCCAGTGACAGTGGTGGTAGTGCCCAGGGATGGAACTGGAAAGGGTCTCAGCCTCACTGTCCATTCTTGCTTCATCCTCACCTTCCTCCCTTACAATTACCCTCTGTGCTTCCGTCAAACCTTCCACTGCAAAGGGCCAACCCAGCACTCGGTGCACCCAGGCCTCCCAATGCTGTTGGTTGTATTGTATGGGATGGGGTCGGAGGCTGTACCACAGAATAGATCAACAGAAGGAGGACAGAGTGCACCACCGTAAACAGTACCTCACTTCCTGGACGGCTCACTTCCTCCCAAGGAAGGCAGGGCTTATCTGCAAGACTAGGGAAATGTGATTACCATGGTCTTCCTGAAGGTCAGCTGACCCAGAATGTCCCCACCCCAGAGAACACTGTTGCATGACCCCACAGTCCTTTGGGGTGGCCTTTACATTGGTACAATTCCACGATGGGACAAAAACCTGGTCCAAGTCAACCGTGCATCTTGACCATTCCCACTCTGTTCACCCATCCCACGGTCTGCCCCAGCCTCCCTCCTCCTTGTCCTGGGCCAAAAGAACAGCAATGGGCTGACTTACATGGGAGCAGAACCTCTCAGGGGGGTCTCCGCACGTGATGCCTGAAGGCTCCACCTTCACCTTGACGTAGTCCTTCAGGCGCATCACCTTGGGCTGGCAGGCGTAGAATTCCCAGGTGGGACCCTCATCTGTGGTCACCCAGGATTTGCAGATGTCATAGTCCCCAGAGGCCAGTGGGAGACAGTGCAAGAAGAGCGCCAGCAGGTGCAGCATGGCTGTGGAGTCCTCAGGGGCGGGGCCCGGAGAGGCCCTGGAGAGGCAGCGACGGGGTCAGGTGGGACTTGCAGCCTCAGCATGGAAAAGCCACATCTACCGAGCAATGGTGGCCAGGGTGTCCCAGGGACTCAAGCACTGTAGGTTTGCAAATAGCGAGGAACTTGTTTTTTCCAAAAAGCTGATACGGAAAATTCAGAGCCAGCGTTTCTCAGACTGCTGATGGGCAGATCAAAAAGCTGCCCATAACCTGCTGTTCTCCTAACCTTGGCATTACACCTCTCCCAGAGGTGAATCTGATCAACTCAGGCAGACTCTCAAACTGTGACAGTAGATGGAAATGGGATAGGGAGAAAATCTGCAGGGATCTGGCATGAGGCCGGATCAGATTGCTTTTAATTTTTGTCCTTCCAATCAATCCAGGTCTTTAAAGGGCCCTTAATGTGTAATGTGCTCAACACAACTGCAAAACAACCCTCTGGCCTGTGTTGTAAAGACAAAATAAAATCAGGAGGAGTACATGTTAGCAGGAACCATGGTCCTCTTTGGGACTGGACTTGGCGTCTCAGACTAATAAAAGAGATTTCTTTTCATATGGGTTGAAAGCAACAACAATTGTGCTCCTGGACTAAAAAATAAAAACGCTACTGCGGCGTTAACTGGGGAGAAGGTTATTTGGCTCTACTTTGGTGGGGACAGGCACTAATAGGGGCCCGCTGACCTTGGCTGGTAGCCATCGGCAACTTATTATGAAGTTTCTGAGGCTTCAGCTCTCAATCCATCCAGGCTTGTCTTTCATTGTAAAAGGGGAGGAGAGAGAGCTCATTAGCAACAACACCTGCAACAAATTAAAAAAAAAAAAGGGGGGGGGGATAAAGATGTATAAGAACAAAAGCTCTCTGGCAAAATGTGCAAAAAATGAGGTTGCATTAGCAAGGTCTCCCGAGAAAACTGGGTTATTTTTATTAACATCAGAGTTGCACATTTGGAGATGGAACATATTACTTAAAAAGTGATGGGTTTTCTCTTCATTTATGGGGGTGTTAGGTCAGCAGACATGCCCCCATTCTGGGGTCAGTGATTTTCTAAAACATCTCCAGAAGACAAGATTTAATAGTTGCTTTAAAATACCATGACTGACAAGTCAAAATGTCAAAGCTGTTAAAGGCAGAAATGAGACTGTAACTAAGGGTGCAGGCAAACGGAGGGCTCCACAGCAAGGCCAACAATTGAGAACCAGGTGCAGATAAGTTTCTCCCCAACCACAGGTACAACCTGAAATGGAAATTTTAATTTTTTTTCACCCTAAGAAACTAGGGATATTGAAGACTTTCACAGGAGTGACAATGTTTTCTCAGATTAGATTTTCTGACCAAGGTTGAAAATTTGCGATTGTCCTTAGAGGCCATGCTTGCAAATGGATCACTCTTAGGATTATTGTTTTACTATTTCAAGCTCCCGGAAATTATTTAAAAGCTCAAAGAGACATAACTGATATGAATGTTAACATTGACAAACACACGATTCTACTAATGTGGTGTCCCTGGATACTTGATACATCACCAGGAGAATTCAAGTCCAAGGCCAGCAGGAAATCCTGGCCAAAATACTGGCTAATGGGGCAAAGGTTATTGCACTGAGTCACAACAGATGTGCCTGCCTTATTAATTATTCTGGTGGTTATGCCTATGGTGATTGCATTTATATTCCCAAATTCAACCCAGCATTGAGACCGACTCTCACCGGGCAGCCTCTTCAGGCATTGCAAATGGAAGGTCCCTGAAGAGTTAACACATTTCTACAAAACCCCATTCTCTACTCAGTCATAAACATGCTCCTGCCAAAAATGACAAACTGGAGGGACGGACTCTGCCCGGCTGGGGTTGGCATACAGCCCTGCAGCTCTAGGAGAAGCCCCCAGCCTCTGCCCCCTGTGGCCACAGCCGGCGGGGCGGGGGGATTCATATATCTGCATTAAGGCAGCCCCTACCCCTCGGTCTAGCTGAAAGGCTCCTGATGGAGATGAATGAGGAGCCAAGGGGGACCACATTTGCACATCTCACCTCCGGCTGTTTAAAGAGAACCCTGTTTGTAGAGCCTGCCGGGCCTTGAATGCGCTCCTTTGCTGGAAAACTCTCAGAAAGAACCCCTCGGCATCTATTTTTACAGCCTGAGAAAATGTAGTAAAAATAAAATAGCGCGGCCGGCAAAGGTTTGGATGGCTCTACCCGAGTTCTGTGCTGCCCAGAAAACAGCACGTCCCTAATTAATTCTTCCAACCGCGGACTCCCAACTGTTCACTAACAGGTAGGGAGCTCCTGACGCCCGGAGACACCAAGGCACCGGGCTGCGGCTCGCAGGGAGGACCCAGCTGCGGGCTTCCTTCATCTGCAGCCCCAGCGGCCGCTCGGGGCTGGGAAGGCGCTGGACGCCGGGCGGGCGCGGGGAGGCGATGAGGCCGAGGCCGGGAGGCCCCGGGGCCCGGGCGAGGCGCGCGCCGCTCAAATCTACTAATTGCTTTGTAGTTGGGTTGGCTTAAACGCCACGCATTCCCTGGAAAATAGGAGGGGTGGGGGGAGTCAACAACAACCAAATCTGCTGGGGTGTGTGTGTTCACAACCAGTCAATCAGTTGGGCGTTGGGGGAACTATGAGCTCAGCACGCGACTATTACAGTTGGTTTTTGCCAAAAAGAATAAGAGGGGGAGGAAGGAGACATCCGAGTCCCCAGAATAACGAGACAGAAAGAGGGAGTAGGGAACCAGCGGGGGAGTTTCGAGTAAGAGGTTGTATCCCAGTGGACTTTCTCCTTGGAAAATAAATCTTCACCTGATATTAAGAAACTGCAGCTCCCAGAAACAGAATCAGTGCTCTTTATTTTCTTTTAAGAGTCCTCAGGAACAGAGGGGGGCTGATAGCCAGGGTATTAAAACCCGAAAATTAGATTTTATCAGAATTTCTGAACTCAGATTTCTGTCTTATTGAATTAGCGCCTCTTGAAGCTGGCTGGGTTCACGAGCAAGCGCCTCTCAGAGTTGCGGGCTGCGCCCTCGCCATGTGGGACATTTGCCGCGTCGGGCGCTGGTGCGGGGTCTCCAGGGATATGGGAGGGGATGCTGGAGGCACCTAGAAGGATCCTACCCACCTCAAGGCTTCTCCTCTTTTCCCAGAGGGGGCGGCGAAGGGGAGTAAAATCTGCTGGGGGGGGCGCGAAGATGAAAAAGGGGAGCCTAGGCGGACGGAGGTCACCTTCCCGCCCCCCGCTGTTTACTGGGTCCTGAAAGTGCCCAGCGCTCACTGCTGGCCCACTGAGCACCCAGTTCCAGTGGCCCAGGTGCCTCCTACGCCTGAACCCGCGCTTTTTCCGGCCCCTAGGGCCCCCCACGCCCTCTCAGCTGCGCGGGACCCAAGCAGGGTAGCAGGGAACCCGCGAAAGTTGGACGAGGGAGACAGGGCGCCGGGAGGCCTCGGCGGAGCGGCTAGTGCCGCGGGGGTGGGTGCGGACAGGCCAGCGGGAGGGGTCTGCCCCGGGCCGCAGACACCGAGGGGCTGGGGTAGAGTCCGCGCTTATCGCTGGCTACAAACCGAGTGCATCGCGCAGGGATGTACTGAACAGCCCCGCCGCTGCCTTTTGATTTTTTTCCAAAGTTGTGTGCAAGCCACGGAAGCAAATAATAATTATGCCTTTCATAAAGCCCCGGCCGGTACCGAGGGTGCACCCTCATTTGGCACCGCCTCTCTTCATTAGAAGAAGCCGAGCAAGGAGCCCAGCAATCAGTTGTATCCTTTTCCTCGCGTCTCAGCCAGCAGCGACCCCATCCTGGACGCCCCCCGCTGCCCGGGCAGACAACTTACTCCGGAGAGGGCAGACCCCGCGAGGCTTCGGTCTTCTTCCTCTTCCCGCCTTCCCGCTGCCTCCTCTCCCTCTATCTGCGCGCCACCCAGTTCGAGGTTCGACTGCACACCATCCCTAAGCCGATCCTACCCCTCCCCTCCCCCACCTACCCACCCCTGTACAGCACGGAAAGAAGTTTCCAGCCGTGGCTGGCCAAGAGTTTCTCTGTGCAACTCACACATTCCGATTGCAGAGGGATGGGAAAGGGGTGGCGCTAGACCTTGACGGTTAAATAGGGGTGGGGGAGTAGCACCGAGAGAAGGGTTAATTTCTTTTTCACAAACAAAACACTTCTAGACAGTTTTGCAACTGAAATCCCCAGTACATACACATATACATCCCCCCACCCCCACCGCCCAAAAAACAGGATGGAAAACGACCCAGGCATAGGTGGAAAGCCAGCCCGGAAGACAAGCTACTCCTTTTTGGTGCTACTGCAAACACACACACACCCCTCTCCCGGAGGTTCCAGCCCTCTGCTAGTAACAGCCGCTACCAAACAACTTTTGCATCCGATGCTTTGCGGAGCTGCTTTAAGTGGCTCCTGGCCCCGGGAAAGCCTGCATGGTCACCGAAGCCCTTTAAAAATCAAAGCAGGCTGGCAAAGCTGCAGCATCTCTCCCCGCCTCCCCCCCGCCCGCCTTACCCCAGCTCGGAGCAGCTTCCCGGAGCGGAGACCCGGGAGGCCTAGGACCGCCACCCTCTGGCGCTCCGCCTCCCCCCCTCTGGCTGGAGCTGGGTGGGGGCGAGGGCCCGAGAGCGCGAGCGGGCGCTTGGTCTCCGCGCCGCTCCCACTGCTGCTGTGGCCGCCGCCGCCGCCGCCGCCGTCAGAGTGGAGCTGGGGAGCCCTCCGGCTGCCGGGGGGGCCTCCCGCAGCCGTCCCGGAGGCGCGGGCGAGGGGAACGGGCGGCCTGCACCTCCCGCATCGCCCGCCCGGGCCCAGCAGGAGGTCGTCGCTAACAAGTGCAAACTTTTTGGCCCCCCTGGGCTGCTTCAAGAGGAACTGCGCTCCGGCGCCCTGCAGCCCCTTGCCTGGGTGGGCTTCGCGGCTGCTCGTCGGGGCTCCGGGGCATCCCCTCCGGCGCGGCACCGACCAGATGGCAGGGCGCTTCACTGCCCCCCTGCACTAGGCTCCAAGTTAATACCGAAGCTAAATCCTCTTGCCATCACTCACAATCACCATCGGGGCTTTTATCTCTCGGTCTGATCCGGGCTGCGTAACTTCCTCTGTGTGGCTTTAACACACCATCCCACCACGGAGCAACGGTCTTCTTAAAGGTGCAGGAAGGAAATACTGCGAGACTCGGAGGACGCGCCACGGCCCGGGCTGGGGGGCCTGGAGCTAGGGCGTCCCGGCGGGCCCGCGGCCAGGGTGGCCCCAGGGGGCAGCCGCGGGAGTGAGCCTGCTCTAGGGGGTCGCTGCCTAAACATCTCCTCCGGGCCCGGGGGCTAACGGGTCCCTGTGCGTAGAGCTCATCCTCGGCCGGCTGGCTCGGGTCAGGCGCCGCTGGAGAGGGCGCCGCGGGGCTGCAGCTTCCTTTTCCCCCAAGGGTCTGGCCGAGGTGCCATCGCCCAGGGGTGTGGGGGCTGTCCCATAGGCACCAGGGAGGGGGCCGAGTGAGTCAGTCTCTCCTCGCCCCTCAGCTGCCAAGGGATCGAGGCTGCTCCTCTGTCTCCCTCTGCGAAGTACTGCCACCCAGAAGGCCCCAAGCAGTGGGTAAAGGGGTGGGTGGGTGGATTTGGGGAGATGGGGAGGGGGAGCGATCTGAGCGCACAACCGGAGACTGAATACCAGCTGACACACTGCCGCCTCCACCCTGATGGGCCCTGCTTTTGATGAAGCCAAGCCAACTCGGCAGGGAGTACAGAGTAGGGGGCAGGTGGGGCCTGGCTAAGGGGCTCCAGGCCTCCTGCCCTGGCAAGCAGCCAAGCAGGGGTGAGAGGGCTCCTACAAGGGCCAGGGCAGGCCATGGAGTTGGCAAGACAAGACAGCCCTGGCTCTTCAGCCCCCTGAAGGTTTCCTACCAGGCTGCCTCCTGGGCTTCCAGGGGGACATGTGGTTTTTGGGTGCTCCCAGCCTCCTCGGTGGGGTAGGTTCTCCCTGCTGCTCTCCGGCAGCATTGTCCTTTGGATGCATCAAGAACAAAGAGCCTGAGCACTGAGCAGGAGAGGGACTGATCCAAGGTCACAGAGGGTGTTAGAAATGGGAGCAAGAGTTGGCAGCCCAATGTTCACACCCCACAGTCCCCCTTTACCTCTACCTTAACTCTTTCTGCTCTCGGCCCCTCCTAAGGAGGCTGTACTGCCGAATAACATTTAGAATCTTGTGATAAAGCAGGCACAAGATGCAGAATTAAATACTGTCATCTGCTTTAATAACAATAACAACAACAATAATAATTTAACATTTATTTGAACACCTGTTTTATGCCAGGCTCCGTGGGAACCAGTTTACAAACATTGCTCACTGACTTCTCACAATGATCCTGTAACTTAAGTGCTATTTGCAAAGCCCTCGTTATAGATGAAGCTTAGAGATGTTCAGTAACTTGCCCAAGGTCACAGAGCTAAGGAAGACTGTGGCCTGGGAGTCAAGGCTTGTGGGTTCCCAGCCAGTGTTCTTCTGCTGGCTGACTTGCTGGTTAACTTTGGGCACGGCACAGATTGCTTGGGGACCTCAGTGTCCCCATCAGTGAGATGTGAATGATGAGTCCTTTCTTTTCTAAGGTGGGGTCAAAACAAGTTGTTTTGAGTATCTCCTTGTGCATCTGCACCAGTTAGCGCTGCTCTCAGAAGGGCCACCCCCCACCAGGCTATCCCGGGGAGCAGATGGTTGCTAGCCCCCGGGTTACCTGCTCTGGCCTTAAAGCAGTAGGAAGAAGCTCCTTGGGGGAGAACAGATTTCAGTGATTTGATTTTTAAACATTCTGTTTGTAGGCAGTTGGTGAAGGGCACAGGGTGGAGCTCCCTAGGATGGTGAGTGATGACCTGGGTTGGCCCTAGCCTGTTGTCACCCCCAGGCAGGGCTATCAATCCCCTGGCAATGCCCAGCTTCTCTATCATCACCACTGGCTGGATGCTGTTATGATCAGCCAACGAGACCTGGAGAAGGATGCCTTTTATTTGCAGTCTATCTAAGCCTGGTGTAGGGACCTGGGATGTATCCTCTCTCCTGTTGCCAGGGCGGTTTAAGTGACCCATATGTAAAGGTATATGCCTCTCCAATAAGCTGATGCCAACAGGTTTTTCAGGGACCTGTTTTGGAAAGTCTTTTCTGGTCTCCTCCATTTCCAGACCCTGGACTTTATGGGATAGTAGAAAGAGCAGTGGACTGAGAGTCAGAATAAAGGGTTTTCTTAGTTCAGTCCCTAACTAGGTATGTGCCCTGGGGGATGTCACCTTCCTCCTCTTTGCCTCAGTTTCTGTATCTGCATAATGAAGGGATTTACCCTGGAAAGGGTTGACAGCACACCACAGCAGCCTCTAGGAGACAGTGTTCCATTCAAGTGAACAATAAAGTGCTCATCTTCCAAAAGAAGGAACAAAAGGAAGCCAGTCACGTAGGGACCAGGTGGTCCAGGGATATTCATTTTTAAACGTCGTTAAGGTATCTTATGACAAATAACCTTTTCCCAGGAGTGAAAAGAAGCTGAGCGCCAGGGGCAGTAAAGTGTTAATGAATTTCCCAAAAAATAATCTCTGGCTCCCCTCTTGCCAGCAGCCTCATCACCCTCTTCATTGGTGGGATTTTGGCTCCACTGGACAGTTTTAATTTGAATTGTGTTTGTGGAATCTACTATCAAAAAGCATCTGTAGAATAATGCATTTCGTTTTATTTCATCTGTTTTTCTTTTTAAAATGATCATATATATGTATATATATATTAAAGATACACACCAAGATATGAACAGGGGCGATGAGGGGGGGGAAGTGCTTGCTTTATGTCTATTCTTCCTGTGTCACACGACTTCTTTACAATAAAGATATATTCAGGGGATAGATGAGCAATAGGAAATTATAAGGACACATATGAAAAAACAATCTACTAGCCTTGAAATGAGAGGTAACAGATGAGGTCTAGGCTATTTGGGGGTTTCTGAGAGAAGGACAACCCTAATACAGACAGACAAAAGGACAGACAGATAAAATGAACACACAGCCCTGATTAAAGTCAAGTGTAAGCTCAAGAGCTACCCCCTGCTGTGTTCTCACCATTTGCCTCATTCACCAGACCAAGATTTTGATTCTTCAAGAGACTCTTTGTCCCCTTGACCTTGAGCAGTTGAGATGTGGCTAGAAGTGGATGGTTAAGATGCTGTGCACCAGCCCAGGACCATCTAGGGATTTCAAGCATCCCTGGGGCTCTTATTCTGCAACCAAGGCAGGAGCAGAGGGAGAGATCAAGACCCAAACCCAGGACCGCCCCCCCTTCAGATGACCCTTCTAGACAGTGGCAGAAGCTGCAAGAAGCACCCTGACTCCTCCCTGCCAGTTCTCAGCTCTAATCTCTAGACCATACTCCCATTAATTATTATTACTGTATTAATCATACATGTGATTAATTCAGTAATGGTGATTCATAATTGATTGCATTTTATATGGTGCCTTTCATCCACACATCTCCGAAGATGTGCACTGCCTACAACAAGAGACACATAAAGCAGGACGTGTTCTTTGCTTGCCTGCATTTTGTTGGATACATTTCTCTACGCAGAGGCAGGGGGCTAATGGTCTTTGGGCAGACAGCCCCAGCTCTGTGCCAATCTCCCTGGGTTATACAGACCAGGCAGTGGTTTCCCCACTGGGTGCTCCTGCTGGGCTTTGCCTTTAGTGATGGCAGCTATGCCCAGGGAACACTGTAGACCCCACTGTCTTGGCAGACAGGTCTGCCCAGGCCCCAGGCTGCTGGGCAAGGCAGTGTAGTAAGTGGCAGTGGACTAGGGCTTGAGAGCCTGACTCTCTGAGCTTGGATCCTGCCCCTCCCACAGACTGGTTGTGTGACCTTGAGCAAACTAGTTCCTCTCTCTGCCTCAGTTTGCTAGATGAAAAATGGGGTTCATAATCGTCTCTATCTCCTATGGTTACTGTGACAACTAATGCAGTGATGAGCAGTTTCCCCTGCCCCTGCCTTGGCTGCAGAAGAAAGGGCATGGAAGGAAATGTCTTAGAATCCCGAGATGGTCCTGTGCTGGTTCACAGTGCTACCTACTTACAGGCACATCTCAAGGTCAAGGGGACAAAGAGTCTCTTGAAGAATCGAAATCTTGGTCTGGTGAATGAAGAGAATGGTGAGAATGTGACAGGCTCTTAAGTTTACTTAGTTTACTTAGAACCTTACCACATAGTAAACACTCAATAAACATGAGCAGTAATTGTGGGAGTTCTAGGCCTGGTTCCATCACTTTATGACTAGGCTAATATCTTCCCTTCTCTGGGTCTCAGGTTTCTAAGTATAGAATGGGAGAGCTGAGCAAGATGACCTCGAGGGTTCCTTCCAGATCATAAATGAGCATTTCCTACAGTAATAGTTGTACTTCAGCCTTCAGCACCAAGCAGTCCTGGACTCAAGTTCCTACTCATCATTTCCTGGTTGTGTGACACTAGGCAAAGAACTCACCTTAATAAGCCTCAGTTGTTTCCTCTGGAGAATGAGGGTAATGATAGCATCCAGGGCCTAGGCTGGGTAGGGGGAGCTCCAGTGGCACAGTCCCTAAGGCATTTGACTGCTAACCAGCAGGCTGGCGTTTCAAGCCCACCAGCCACTCCTCAGAAGGAAGACTGGGCAATCTACTTCCGTAGAGATACCACCTCAGAAACCCAACGAGGGATCACTATGAGCTGAGTCAACTCAACAGTAGTGAGTTTGGTTTGTCTGGTGGGAGCATTTAATGAGCTAATGCTTGAGACCTGTCTGGCATCTAGAAAGCTACCCAAGGTAGCCCTT